TGACGCACGCGGTCTGGCTTTAGTACGAGGCAGCGACGTTCTGCATATTGCGGAGGCGTTGTCTGTCCTTGATCAACGCTGACTCGCGCTGTCTGGGTTTGATGCAAGGCTGTGACGCGCTGCATATTGAGGGGGCGTTGTCTGTCTGGTCAACACCCAGCGGAGCTGAGAGTCTCCGTAGATTCCGGGCATTCAGTGGTTGCTTTCAGGAAGCTGACCTTCCTGATACCCACACTTAGGAATGATGACTCTGTTCGTCATGCATCGGTTTTGCGTGCAGCATCTGCTCGTCACATAGCGCTGACATCCTCAGGTATATACAAATTAGTCTTCAAGCCTCGACAAACAGTCTATCTAACCGCGTTCAGTGTCCTCAGTTTGAAGCAAGCAGCACAATAAGCTGCTCTTGCACTCACACTGGACTCGCTTGTCATTGATATGTGCTGTTTCTATCGTAAATGAGATGCAGCTGACTTTGTAGTATACTTCGCGAACTGGAGCTGAAGCAAACTCAGTGACGGGAGCCCGAGAAGATCGAAACCATTCGACAGCTGTAGAAGCGCTTATAGCAAACTATAGCAATGTGTACCGTCGTGACATGACGTTTCCCAGTTCAACGTATGACTGATTTACTTTCCTGAAAGAAAATTCATGACAAAAATGCCTATTACCATGGGGGAACTCTCCTATCAGTGCGGTTTTATCATGTGCGCATATAACAAGTTAGTCCGCCACAATGATGGAAACTTTCGGACCAGAATTGTCTGAATGTGGGTAAAAATGTAGCCCCAGGTACCAGTACAGTACCATTTTAGGGAACAATTAACAACAGGACAGGAAAGATGAAACACACTTGCTTTGTGAATTATGCCTTTGGAAATGTCGCATCTGAACTGCCTAAGTTTATCACGATTGCACACATCCGAGTAACAACTATTCTTGTGATGGCTTTCCTGCAAATCTGTCCATTTCACATCATGATATCGCAGTCAGAACGGTAAATTTGACAGCGTAGGTTCACTATGGATGCCGGAACACAAAGAAGCGACATCCGGAAACACCGGAAACAGAAACCATCTAGCTCAGAATATTCGCTTTGGCATAATGAAAAAGCTCTGGTGAACATAATTGGGATTCATTACGACATTCAAAGGCAAACCAGATAAGAAAACACCAAAAATATTTGGCAAAAAGTGCACTTTAGCAATGCTATCAATCACGGAAGCTTAGGTAGCTGACTGATGTCCAATAAAGTTCCGAGGTGGCTGAATGATATCTTCCCAGTGATGTCCTCTCTTCGCTAGGTCATATAACTAAATCGCAGCAATTAGGGGACAACCTATCTGCTACGAGTTGGTAACAGGTAATATATATAATATAATAATAATATAATATATATATATATATAACAGGTAATATGAACTGTTCTTGTCCATTAAGCGACAATACGGAAGAGCTGATAAAAATGCAAAAAGTGCTATGCTGAAGTTAAATACTAAGGTTTAGGATTGCCATCCAGCAAAACAAAAAACGATTTTGGGGAAACTGGGTTAAGCACAGGCCTGTTGGGGAAAACGGAGGAAGCAATTTTCTGTTTTTACTTCAGTGACAGCAAGATTTACGACCTAAAATTTCACTCCTGTTACTAAGATGGTATCATTCGAATAGCTACCAAATCTTGTTTCCTGTGTCTGGTCATTGGGAATTTAAAACGCATTCAAATTGGAGGATGTAACTATGAAAAAGTTTACTGAAAATGGAGAACTTCCCTGTTAGACAATGGGTTGAGCAGTCTTCATCACAGAATTGAAAGGAGACTAGCAAAGCAGTATATAGTTATATAAATTGCAGGGAAATATACGTTTGTAATGGCATCGATCGTTGGGTAAGTTTAATCCAAGCTTAGTACGGGTCACTTGTGTGCAAGGACGACAGGTTTGCGTCATCGGATTTTTTGTTTACATCAAAACAAGTACTTTAGTTTGTGTAAACTTTGGGTGGGCATTGGGGAGTTGGTACCCTACCCAAAGGTGTTCGTGAGAAGAGACAATATAATACGCTTGCAACTAAGCTTGAATTAGACTTACTGATTCCACAGGACAACCAAACTACGCCATCTATTTGAATCAGATCGAATATGTGTCCTATTTCATGTATTCGATGGAACAATCACGAAAAGCACATGTAGACGGCGGTTGGTTACCCTTCCGTAACATGTTCAAAATAGGGTTAGGTGGAGTGACCATCTATAAGCTTGCTAGCACATAATTTATTCTCAATGTTGTCCGGAGCCACTGTAGTTTCATTAATAGAGAACAGTATTCTTTTATAAGCCAGTATAGACTGTTGCCTTCTTGTTCCGGTACCAACTCGATTTCATTGGTACCTTCTTCATGATTTTCTGTGAGAAACCGATAGGATGGCCGTTCAGGACAAAACTGTCATCCAGTTCCGGGTTGCCTTGCTAGCTAAGTTTTATTTTTCCATCGGTGAAATAACGCATGATGTTCCACTTTTTTGTGTAGAAAACCTTCAGTTTTGCAGTTCTTCACGGTTAGCTTTGTTTTCTTTTACCCGAACAGGATCATCCCATTAACATCAAGCAGGCTAATAATTTCGTTGTTTTTGAGTGTAAAATATTGCTTAACTGAACTTTTTCAGAATCGCATCGTTGGCGACCTCGGATGATCATATTACTATTCACATGGCAATTAGATGGGCTACCCTCAGTTCAGTGGATATATATATATATATGATGCGACAGTGCCGTAGGAACTTCAGGCTAGTAGAACAAAGCCGGCCCAGACAATGGACGGAAGTATGTCATGCGGCAGCCACGTGTTGAGCATGTGACCGATTTCAGTGTTACTGTATGTCACGTCGTATTCGCAAGTTTTATCAATATTTCAAATATCTGGATGGTCCAAAATACACTTTGATAAATTATTTTGGCATATCTGGCCACTACTAACCATGTGTATCAGCAGAAGGCCCAAAGTGCTCCTGATCTCGTCATATACATACTTCCTTGGAACTAGAACTTTAGTTTGAAGTCCTCGATAACCAACTTTCAACTAAGGCCGCGTTATAAAAGTTTACATAAGAGTATTTTAGACCAAACTATTGGACCTCTTTTATTAATATTTGAATTGTTACACCGGGTGGTGGCCAACAACAACCAGGAGCTCGCGGTTTTCCATGCTAGACCAACTGATTTTTCACAAAATGAAACTCGGCAAATCTTGCAGTTTTCCACTTTTGACATTTCTGCTTGAGAGTGGTAATGTTTACTTTGAGCGTATCACTTGTCATTTCATCAATTTTGAACCAGCCGTGGGTAGTACAAATGAGTTCTGTATACCTCTTCATACTTTCCACGTCCAAAACCGACGGAAATCGTCCTAATAGGGAGGGATGATGAACTCATACATTAAGTGAGTGTGCATCAACTGTGGTCGTTTTTAGATAACTTGCCGTTGTAGACGGGTTTGCCAGGTGTGCATAAAACACAAATCCTTACTGATTACAAAAGCTTCAAGTCGTAGAATGCAGTAAAGCACTATTAGAGAGACTACCTATGAAAGTATACAAAATGGTTCCCTCGTGCATTGTCCTTCTCAGAATCTATTCACTCTCAATAGCTCTTCTCACCAGCTAATATTGGAAATGTATCATGTTGCTCGCTTATTGTTTGATCATTGCTCAAACTTCGCAAAAGTCTAACCGTATTTGCTGAAATAAATCGAATGAAAATGCGCGCATCTTTTGACATTCACCGTCTCCGCAATGTAAAATAGTCATCCGAATCATTCTAATCACTATTCTAGGTTGACAGTACAGCTCAGTCAGGTGATCTTGAATGAAGCTGGCCGCAATTATTTGAGTTTGTCTATCCTAGTACACGTCCTCAAATCATTGTTTCCCTTTAGTGAAGTTTTCTTTACCGATGGCTGGAGAGAGAAGACGAATGTCTGAATGCGCACTGGGCGTCTACACGTGTTTGTGTCAGCGGAAGTGCATTGTTGACCACGGTAATCCACAGCTATCAAATCGGCTGTTCACAGCTTATGACGGGTTACTCTGGTAACGAGCATTGATGGATGGACGGAACTGGAGATATATCAAGTTACCCCGATATCCAGATGAATCCTTAAGTAGTCCCTACGTACCGGGGAAGTTGAGCTGTCTGGTATAGAATGCAAGTAAGGGGGCAGCTAGACAGAAATGGGTCAAATGAGGGTTGTAGCGTGCAGTTTGCAGTATTCCCAAAATGATGGACACTGGCTGTTTACAGGACACCTTGCGTATCTAAACGGAAGTGTTAGCATAAGATCGGATGCTTTACTGAGGACTTTATGCCTTTAAGTTAGGGGAACTGAGTCATTCCAGTGCATGTTCATCATATCTTGAAATTGCTCACTCTTAAATTGAAGAGCATAGAACCCAGTCGTGACAAGTTGAGCTGTCTGGTATAGAATGCAAGTAAGGGGGCAGCTAGACAGAAATGGGTCAAATGAGGGTTGTAGCGTGCAGTTTGCAGTATTCCCAAAATGATGGACACTGGCTGTTTACAGGACACCTTGCGTATCTAAACGGAAGTGTTAGCATAAGATCGGATGCTTTACTGAGGACTTTATGCCTTTAAGTTAGGGGAACTGAGTCATTCCAGTGCATGTTCATCATATCTTGAAATTGCTCACTCTTAAATTGAAGAGCATAGAACCCAGTCGTCTCACCTAACTTTCCTCTAGCTAACTCCACTATCGCAGCTGTATACCAAACCGACAACGTGTGGAACAAACAGAAGTTGTTCGAGAAATACACTCTGCAAATCAGTTTGTCTTTCACGAGAGACTCAACTGAATCTCTCGTTTATGATATTCTACAACTGAATGTGCTGCACACAGGCGGCCTTATGATTCAGTTAGCACAATATTGGAGATATCGTAGTATATTTTCATATTTCGAAGAGTTTTCAGCAACCTTGTGAGTATTTTCCTTTATGAGAATATACTGCGATATCTCGAATATCGTGCCAACTGAATCATGAAGTGGCCTGTGTGCAGCACATTCGGTTGTAGAATATCATAAGCGTCAGTTGAGCCCCTCGTGAAAACCAAATTGATTTGCAGATGAGTGTATTTCTCTAAAAGCACCAACCTTGTTTAACACTCCTTACTTGTTGGATTGAAGTTGTTAATCTGGCCGGAATTAGTTCGAAACTTTGGGTACAACGGCGCGGTGCAAAAAAAGTACAAACTGTTTTTTCAGTTGTTCACTTAGGCAAGCCTCAGAGGGTCTCAATCTTACACTTCCGAGTTTGCTTGACTCAAACAAATATTGATCAGCTCATAGTAATATTCTTTGGCTTGCGGAGTCGATGGTACGTAGATATTGTCTGCAGAACCAGGTTCACATTTGACAAAATCCATATTTTTTTTCATCTTTTCACGCAAAGTTCTGCACTGAGCAAAGAGACCGTCAGATGCATTGAAGAAGCTACAAATTGACGAGGATTATAGAAGTGACATTACGGTAAAATGAAAGTACTGCTAGCTGATGGGTATAATTTCAACGAAATGGATGCAGGATAAACAGAAGATGTAAGAATACACGACCAGCATTGCAGTTATTTACGATCTTTTTTGTACGTTTGCTTCCGTTTAGAATCGCATAGTGAGACCAAAAGAATGACTCTCTGAAAATGCATATGAAGAATCTGTTAATGAGATCCGTACCGGGCATGTTGAACACTCCGTAAAATGAGAGTGGTAAATAGACAACAAAAAACAGGCATTAGTGTGCACGCCTAAGCCAAATACTGCGTGTGTGTCTCCCTTTGAGTCCGATAACACGAATAGGCAGTTGAACGCAACCGGATGCCGGGTGTTCTTCGTAAACTTCACCGTGTGAAATGACGGAATATCTGTTTCTTGTTGCTGGACTACATATGCGAACTGGGAAGGCTGTCAGGTACTTTCAGCTTTGTTATAATACCTAGGCGCATAGCTGGCTAATATGATTATGAGAGGGCTGGAGTGTAAGCAAATAAACTCATCTCTGTGGAAATTTACACTATGTAAACGGTTATTGAATCAATTTTAACAAAAAGCGAAACTTTGATAATTTTCCCATTCTTTATCCACATGCACGTCACTTTGGTTTGAGTAGTCCTTCTGCACCTCCTCTCCTGACGTTACGATTATGGTGAGTTCATACGAAAGGAAGAAAGCACTGAACTCAAGATTCGCTATAATTCGAACTCATTATCGGTGCGTATTGTTAGCCGTGCCCGTAGGTTGGATACCGGACATCTGATACGCGAGGCGATCATGTTGACACTCCTCAACCAGCAAATGCTGAACACACTAGATCATCACTTTTGAACAGGCGAATGTGTTCACGCTTGAGTGATGCTCAAAGCGTCGAATGGCGGTCTAGTATGCAGTGCTAATGAACGTTAAAGTTGAAACTTGAGTTCAGCACCTCCACCTCTTTAGTGTGATGATAGCCATTCCGAGATCAGTATATGGGTTCTGATTGATGATGCGACCATTTGGGTGTCATAGCAGGACATTTCAGGGCAAGTGGAGAACGAACGCGGATTGACTAAGTAGGTGTGGTAACACACGCATATGCTGGTCCACGATTCTTAAGCGGGACGGCTAGTGTGGCAAAGTCAATGACGGATACGACCACCAAAGAGAAATATAAGTTGAAATCCGGACGTAGTAGAGGCAGTAATGAAAAATAGTTAGCCGAAGGTGGTTATGTTACTTCTAAGATTTACATTCACATCAGTCTCGTTTGAACAGTCCGCCTCCTTTTATCATAGCCCAATTATCTTGGTGAGTCTGCGCCAGAGGGAGGAAGCACTGGACCATAGTTCCTCATTGGCATTGCGGGAGGTCGTTCAAGGATTCGAGCAGACAAATCCTATCGCTCAAGCGTGAACACATTCGCCTGTTCAGACGTGGTGATTCAAGGGCGTCCAGCATGTGCGGGTGGAGGTGTGTTAGCACTCTGGCCTCGAATGTCATGTGTTGGGAGTCAAAACCTCGGGCACGACCAGGGATGGACGTGAATTTTTTGTTTAACTCTTCGAATTTGTACTGATGGTGAGTTCCAACAAGAACGGAACTCGGGTCCAGTGCGCCCCCTTCTGGTATGAACTCACCAGAAGAGTCACATCAGATCACGAAAGAGAAAAGTTCAAATTAGTGTTGTGTGAACTTGAAGGAGGAATCTATTATCTTGTTTGATTGACGGATCATGTAGCCAAATTGACAGTATGGAAGCTCCGAAAAAGCTTTGAGACAGCTTATGCCACAGTAAACCCACAGGCAGATATTCGAACTAAGGCTGTGGAAGAATAGCCTACCGTCAGTTTTAGTCCGCAAGTACTCAGATGCATTCGCAGAGCATCCTACATTTATCATGCAATGAATCTGTTGTCTGATCTGATCTTTAAACACTGTACGATTGGCTTAACCAGTGGAATTCAAAAAACCCCTTCCAATCAGGAATCTACTCTTTTGGAGGCTGAGTATTCAAATTTGACGCAAACCCGACTGTTTATTGTTTTCGTCGAGGTAACACCCATCCATTTGCTCACAAGTATTCGTCTCAAGCATTTCATCTCAGTTCGTCGCTGCATATCTTGAGTAGGGATTTTCTTGTTTCATTTTTGCTTTCTAAAAATGGCACTTTCGGTTGCTCAACAGCGTGGCCCTTTCTCCTAATTGCATCGATCATATTGATCTGCCTTAGATGTCCGAATGCTACACACAGAACACAAGGCACGTTTGCCGAGTCGTTTTTTTTTCAAGATATCTCAGTTATTACCTTCACCGTTAATCAAGTGAACCGTTTTAATTGCTCTAGTATCATGCATGGGGCTAGTTAAATCCTTGGATATCTTTCCCCAGTGTGTTCCCAAGGCTGTTTTCTGATGCATATGCTCAAGTTTCAACTGCTTATCGGAACGACTAGTGTCCTGGATAACGGTTACAAAGTAAGCTAACCGCTACTTTAAACAGTCTTCTATATGTTTACACCATTAAGGTTACCAGATCTGTGTGTCGTAGCCTGTTTGACTGATTACGACGGATAACTTCTTGCTTTAAATTAAACCCTTGGTTCATTCTCTTGGTTTTATAGACTATATTTCAACCCTTTGCTTGAAACATCAGGGATACAATGGACACTCCCTAAAGCCACATCCAATCACGACGGATAAAGCTGTGTAACACTCCCTCTAAGTAGTCCCGTCTGATGCTTTACCCAGACAAACTCCATGGTCACTGATCACTTACAAGGTGAGATCGCGTGCTTTTGGTGTATGGGGTGGAATCGTGCGATCGGTCCTGCATTCTGGTACTTTTACACAACTGGTATACATCTGTCACAGATGATTGTATCAATTACATCACTTATTCCTGGGAACTGACGATCCTGTTTGGTCTGCGCTGCAAAATTAATCGATACCAAACTTTATTCCACTGTATTCTGTAATGCTGAATGGACCCAAAAGGCCTGCCAACTCTTAGAAAACTAAGACACCAAATAAGTCTGACAAAATCATCTTTATTCGCTATTGTTTCCCATAAGGTTGGAATACATTTGATTTCATAATTTTCTGTAGAGATGCATAATGGACCTCGGAAGATTCACACATATGATTCTGTCGTCGTATTTGTATACCGTACATTCAGTCGACGGATTCCATTCTTAAGACATCAAGTACAGTCCGATTTGCAGTAGTCAGTTAGCAAACAATTTGATTAACCAACATTTTAAAAACAAACGTGCCTGTGGCTAGGGCAGTCGCTTTTTGAAACTTTAATTCATTTCACTTATAATAAGTGACTTCAGTATGTGATTACAACGTGGTATTTTGTTATCCGTGTCACTGGAGTCTCCTTATACTATAAATGCACTAGCAAAACCACTCTCAAAAGCATTATACGTATTGGCATAATTGCGTGGGTTACAAGCAATTGTTAATTACCTTGGGAGTGAAATCACCCTCTTCTGGAAAAGTCTACTCTGGAAGTTTATATGAAACCGGTTGAACACAGCGCTGCGACGTACGAAGTTCACTCAAATCGAAGTTTTATGTGACCTTCACCCTCCCACCCTGTTCATTCATGTTTAGGAGATATTCACTGTAAACAAGACGTGACCCCTAGAGTTGTTTCTTTATTCTCGATCTCGCTGATCTGTAGAAGTTCGGATCTCACACAAGCTGTCAGCTGATCGAGTCGCGGTTCCACACGGCCAGCGCAGGTTCGTCAACCTGGTCTGGCTTACGAGCCCGCTATTTCATTGGTTAGGCTTGTCGACCAATCATACGCTACTCGGCGTTTTGACCTTCGCGCGCTACGCATAAATTTTGCAAACGCCTGTGGATGGTAGTAAGAATTCCGATAATCGAGCAGCTGACTCTGTCCTCTGGTCGCCGTCGGACCTTACTTGTTGCAAGACCTATTAGTCCGTACGACGTGCATGCCAAAATGGACCTTACTGATTCCGAATCTGAGAAAATTGTCGTGTACTTCACAAACTCTCACTGAATCCTACCCACTACAGTAAAAAAATTCAATAAAATCAGACGACATGAATTTCACCAAATCGGCATTCGTTTTGTCCTGTCTGATGGTCCTTGCCTATTCTAGTCCTGTGAACAATCACTCTTCACGAGAATCACTGAATGGAACAGAGGGCGCACCAAAAAATGTGCAACATGTCAATACTGGAAACAAAACCGTGGTGACTGAATTTAGTGAACAACATTTGGTAAGTGCTTCACGGAGTTTCACTATAATTCAGCTACCCTTGAACTTCCTAAATGCGTAGGAAATTCCTCTAATTCACGAAAGAGTTTCATACTTTTTTCATTGGTTTATTGACCGATCCACTATTCTTCAACGGTCAGGTGCATTTCTTCTCGGATCCGTGAAACGTTGATAACCACACTCAACTAAAACGAACTGTTAGCACATTGTTTTTTATAACGTGTTACGATGGCACTGCATTGTATCTGTCGAAAAATTCTTGAGGCATGCAAAACATGAACACAGGAAGTGATTTCCCTCAGAACAACAGCTCTTCCGGCGATTTGCGGGTTCATTCATCACAGAGAGTACAGGTCGATTTCTCTTGTCACGGATCTGAAGGTTGAGGCTCGACAATGGGGACCATTACAGTGTATTCTGATCCTCTGTTTCTGATGTGACTGTCAGTAGACACTGACGCTCTTAATAAGGGTCAGGTTCTATTCGTGCTTTTATAACCGTTGCGAAGCTGGAGAGGCGTCTTCTTCATAGCTGCGCAACCTCATCATTTTGATTCAAACCTTTCCAGAAATTTAAGCATCGTTGCAAGAGGGAGATTATGATAGTGAATGCGCAATAAGGGGATGCGTAAGCGGCAACAGTGTAGGTGATCGCTACCCAAGACGGCAACGAGGCATACATTAAGCTGGTCCGTTTGTCGTACTCCAAAACTAGTGTTATTCTCCTATCGGCCATAAGTTTATAATCGGCAGAATGTTGCGTGTAAATAAACGTTTTCGCAGTCGCATAGAGCGCCATTTGGCTCTCATGTCTTCATGTTTGAGATCCATCTGATTCACTTTGCATGTGACTGGAAGAACAGCGCGAGCCGGACGGGGCAGGTTCGCACACAGTTCTCACTTTTATTCACAGTTTAACTGTACGGTTGAGCACCACAACTGCATTGGTGTCTATGATGCTGAACACGTGACTCGCTGCTGCGTATTCATTTTACTTTCTTACCCAACTTTTGTGTGCATTTCGTATCGCAGCTCGCCGAGTAAATAAAAATGAAGGTGATTCGCTTGTTTGGAACCGATATGTTGTTCAGTGGATTTTTCAGACGACGTATCAACATAATTCTTTCAATTCCTTGTTCACTTCATTAACCTTGCTTTCGTTATGATTTGAAATACTCTAACGAACGCCATAGTTACCAATATTTCGTAACGACACCTTGAATACTTTGGATTACGAGTCGTAGTATCGCCCTCAAAAGGGACACCATCGAAAGGAGTTCAGATTCTGGTGGTCGTTGGCTTGTTCGCTGAGCTGGGCAATTTGATTGCAAACGTTTCATCACCAATAACGCACTGATGATGTCATCTCGATTGGTGATGAAACGTTTGCAATTAAATTGCCCAGCTCAGCGAACAAGCCAATGACCACCATCTACACTACCTGAGCTCCCGACATTTTCCTCTATAGAATACGCTGCCTAGCTACCGACATTTTCCCATATAGTTCGGATTCTTGTAGAATAAATGGTGAGGTTTTCCACCATATATGGCATAAGTTGCAGGTTCTCTGAATTGTGCTCTAATATCTATTACCCGTAATAATCTTTCCAGAGTTGGTTGAATTTAGCAATGGGAAGGCAGCATACCAATACGTTTGATTGCTTCCATCGCGGATTTACAACACTAGCAAGTCAGAAAGCAGCTAGGCAGGCAATTTTTCCCAAAACTCTGTGAAATTCAGGCAATTCGGTCGCTGTAATGGAATCCAGCTGCAGTGAATGTGGTTGACTATTTTGACACTGAGCCTGCAAAGCCGGTGATTCCAGATTGATCTTCACTCACTAGATCAACTATCATATAACCGTTGCGTTCTCCATGCTTTGATTTCGTACCTTGTAACGTGATCTTGCCGGTATGGGAATCGAGGACGCACACCCATGGACACAGACAGACGAATCAAGCTTGCCACCGTGCGCGACCCTGTGCACTTTAGTCTAAATGCAACGGTCAGAGGTCATGCATGTGCAGATCTGCTGATTGCCACGACTTGACGCATTCAGGATGCTTGAGCCCAGAGGCAATCGCTACAAAGCCAGTACCATGTCCTCGGACTGTTATGTAAGTGTGAAAATCATGGTGTTCGATCTACACAAGATGTCCGAATATCATCCTTTGTTTGATGTTGGGCCATCCCTAACATACAACTGAGAGTGCATCGATGCCAGTATGTATATCTGCGTATAATTCGTCTGTATATCGTCACTACGCATAGTTTGTCCAATCAAAGTGCTAAATCAAACCCTCTATGATTGTCTTCTTTTGGCTGATCTAGTATCCCTGGGAGAGAGTTATGTTTACGTTTGTTTTCCAGGCAATAAACTTGCTCGCCGCTGTCCCGTAGCATGACCAAACGGTAATCGTTGCGTTCGTAAGTTGGCTTGAAGAAGGCGTATGACGAATGTCATGCCAGAGCATACACCACATAACGAACCTCGCAAAAGTTCAATCAACATTCCGACTTGCTGTTTGAACGAGACTCTTATTTAATGTGTCCCATCCCGACACTTAATCGGTTTCCAAATATTATTCCAATTTAGTTTCTGCTTTTGAACATTCAATCGATCCAGACATGTGCAGAGTGTTTCCATGTTAGGACTTCTATTGTTAAGCCATCATCTTTTATTTGAGCTCTCCTATTTTCTGGAGGTCTGGACAAATTGTTTCGAAATCTGACATCTACTTGTCCCTGCATATTCACAGCTTAGGCGTCTAGTTGGGCAGCAATGAACATCTTTTCCTCCAGTGTCAAGTGACGGTTTCCAAACCCCAATAACTGGTCTGCGCTGCGTATTCTCGTGTTTGGCTCACACTAATCATTGGTTCCGATTCGGTACCACCCTCGGAGAGGGGATTATCACCCCATGCCGGATATTTTAGAGGGAGAAGGCTCGTGGACGACGGTCAAACTGCTAGCCCGTAGGTGGCAGGTGCGAAGTAACCCGGAGTTTTGTGAGATGCGTACTGTGGACGATTCCGAATAAAGATGGGGCAGCTGCGTGGCCTTCTCGACTTTTCAACATATGCTGGCTTGGTTTCGATTTATCTCGGTGGTTTTAGTTGCGAACTTTCTGATCGTGGTTAGATCCTAATCCCGATTTCTCTGCTACTCCTCTCTAGGCTTGAGCAGCCTGGTAGCTAGGCAGCGAAAAGTTGCTACAGCTGAACGATTCTTTAAGAATGAACAGGTAACCTCAGCATAGAACAAGTTGTTTTGTCATTCCGGTTTGCCATATCTGGAGAGAAATTTCAGCAAGGACCACGGAACGAAAAGGACTCTTGTATCTTACACTACATAACTCACTAGAAACATTCAGAAACCATTATACTCGTACTCAGCCACTTCGTTGGTAACACTTCCTGTTCTCTCATTGCTCTCTCCTGGTAACACGGAATGGTCATGTCAAAACCTAATATTGCATCATTTTAGGCCATCAACCGATTAAAAACTACCGTTTTAGACTGGTTACATTTTCGAGCTTCATTCACCCACAGTGACTTTTTGGCTAAACAGCTGATATCGTCTTGGTCATTTAACAAGAGGCGAGACGATCAGCAACGCTTTGGATCGGCTAGTTGCACTGCGTGATAATGAGAGAAGCGTGAAGTATCAATCAAACCATTCAGGAAAGTGATTACTGGGTGACAATACTATCATAGATGAATACGTGTAATACCAACGTAGTCTGCAGGCGACAGAGATGAACCTAATGGCTTGCATTCGGCGAATATAAAACGAAATGAATATACACTGTTTCTATTGACCTGATACACTACTTATAAAGTCTCTGGAAACAACTCACAATCAGTTTCATCGTTCTTGAGGCTCATCAGGTCCGCGTAGTCCCCGAGGTTCCATCTGCTCTATGTTCCGCTTGAAGCCAAAGTTGACAGATTGCGACAAACGTTTCATCTGGATTCGACTGAATCTCCTGTGAAAACCGAATTTGTACGCAAATGAGACTATTTGTTGCAAATACAGTACGTTAGTAACTATGATTACCACTAACTGTATGCAAATATGCGCCCCCGCTTTGTCTCGAGAAACTAGGTCAGAGGGTGAAGGGCTTCAGACGAGGTCCATAAAACCCACGATCACCGAAGCGCTAAGAAGATGAATAATTTTTTAGGGATTCTCTGTGCGAAAGAATCACGTTAGTCGTTATCATCCTGTTTGTAAACTGTATGCAGATCAGCAGAGAGATACAGGTTCAGCGCAGAATGACATCAAGCGTGATGACCGGTTCTTAGAGAGCTATTCGAAGCGTATGGTCTATATCACCAGAGTATATAAATAACTAAGTTGGCAATAGTGCGTGAAAAGCGATAACTCACTTGCAAACCAACGGCAGCCAGAAGACAAATCTCCCGAATCGTGTTAGGAGTGTACAACTGAGCCCAACCGCTGTTTCTTCGGTAGTAAAATGCATTGGAAAACTGACCGCCAAAACAGCCGCTCATTGTGGGTTCGCGGTAGTCATTCAGAGTCATTTCGTAGGAGAATCCCATAAAAATTTTCCGATCTTCTCGCGGAAATCAAACACAAAGACAGCTAAAACAGTAGTCCCATGGGCGTTAATCAGACGGTTGTATTACGATGAGATCGAACTGACGTAATATGAATGCTGAAACAAACCATGTAGAGACTGCGTGCACGTCCAACTTCCTTCTCATGGACGAAGTCAATTACATTAGACTGAACAATAGGTGAACTTTTCGAGAAATGCACTCATTTGCAAATCATTTTGGTTTTCACTGAATCTCTCGTTTATGATATTCTACAGCTGAATGTGCTGCGCACAGGCCGCCTCATGTTTCACTTGGCACGATATTCGAGGCATCGCAGTATATTTTCATTAAAGGACCTACCCACAAGGTTGCTGAAAAATCTTCGACAGCCCACGACCGGTTTCGCCCTTCTTAGGGCTCATCATGTAGGCGCAGTTCCCGAGTTTTCGTCAACCATATGTTTTACTTGAATCCAAATTCAGTTGTAGAATACCATAAACGAGAGATTCTGTATAGTTTCTCGTGAAAACCAAATTGATTTGCAAATGAGTGTATTTCTCGAAAACATTCCAATTTGGGTTCAAGTAGATCATAAGGTTGACGGAAACTCGGGGACTGCGACAACCTGATGAGCCCCAAGAGGGGCGAAGGCGGTCGTGGGCTGTCGAAGAGTTTTCAGCAACCTTGTGAGTAGTCTCCTTTGTGAAAATAGGTGAACTTTGTTACCTGTGAGAGTGAGCACACAGTTAACCCGTCATTCCACTCACACCATGTGCTCATCAGGTAGGTTTGTGGGGCAGATGAGTAATCGAAAACCATGCGGCCGAAATCCTTATAAGTGTATCAGTCATTCCATATCCAAGATAAAGCTTGGCAGGTCGAGGTTTTTGAGACGTGTACAATGTTTGTCCGACTACTGTCTAAGCCATTTTTTTTATATTCGCAACCCTTTTTCGCGAAAGGTTCGCCTTCTGGCCACTAATAGCTCTCTCACGGAATTTCTTTAAGAGGCGGATGCCGCCAGAACCATTTGAATATCCGTTTGTTTTATAGATAATGGCGCTACTACCATCTCTTATCGATCAAGCATGTGGAAATACATTCTTTAGCCCGATAATTGTGCTTTCCCCGCGCGTTGTTATATATTTCCAGCGAGTTTGAGGTTGTCTGTAGGCTTCTGTCAGCATTTCAGCCTTCCACACACGCGGGCAAACTGGAATAAACGGGCATATATGTTTGTACAAGCCGAACACTTCCCCATTGTTTGTCGGAAACTGGTAGCCTGACCAGCTTTATATGTTGTGTACGTCGGATAAAAATGAATGCCGACGATTGAGGAAAGAGGGACGGGGATGGCGTTAATTAGTTGCATGGCGTTTTATTTGATCCATCAGAGTCAGAAGGCGGACGAATTACACGTCCGTATGTGTGTGTTTTCGAGGGAACTAACAGTACACACACACTCCAAAAGAACATAACCGACGATGAGATCAAACGGTTTGTGCTTTCAGAGTCTGAGTATTAATTTTCTTGATTGGTTTTGTGTGCATGCATGCATGCATGTGTGTGTGTGTGTGTATGCTTACGCCAGCTGAGTGGAGTTCGGATATTGGTGGTTGAGCCATTCGGAGCCACGTTTGTTCTACATGAACCAGATCAAAGCAGCCGCCAAACAATCTTATCTAGTTTCGATATGGTTAACTGAAAAATCAATAGTGGAATGATTCGAAACGATCATGGGCTCATCAAGTGTGGACAATGTTCAGATTTGTTGCTTGCCTACCTTTCTAGATCGTCTGAAAACGGGAGGTAGTTAAAGCTACACTTGTCTGTTCAGAATGAATATATCCAAGGCTTTGATGTAATTTGACCAGATTTTTCGTAGACAGGTGAGATAAAAGTTGTTTTATTCAAGATAATTCTATTGCTAATTACTATTCTCCGTAAGTGGATTGGGGTGGCCCAACACGATTGTCTGCCTTGGTTGCAAAGGAAACCTATTGTTAACCCTGGTGTTTTTTCAGTTTGGCTGTGTATATCCTACTGGTCAATTGGGAGAAGTTATGCTCCCGACAGATGCGTAGCTTCAATAGTCTCTTTGATCGATCCATCACTCATGTGTGGATTATCCACTCTTGATGAACTCGAGAACAGGAATTTTGAACCCATCAAAGTGTTCTCTCACGTGATAATTTCTCTGTAGAGTTCTCAATACAGTTACAAATCAAGTAGATCATCAGCATTGCTAAGAAAATCGATCTTTGGAATAACGTGACAAGCCCGTACATGAAAATCATCAACAACCATTTTCTGCAATGCGTAACTAGGACATGGGGGAAAGAACTTATTGCATATCGATAGCTTACCTGAAAGCAATATTAAATGTGATAAAGTTTGGGGTGTGAGGATTTGACCAGCTAAGTGATTTGCTAAAGTGGTCCGATTGAACATGAGTTTTCCATAACCGACGCAACGCAATTCAACATAATTCCCCCTTTTTCGATTGCTTCGTATATCACAATGTTTTGTGTTCTTGCTTTTACGAACCACAAACCTCTCCCCGTCTAATTTTTACACTGACGTCTTTTTAGCCATCTCTTGACAAATATAGACTAAGTGATTGTTCTATAAAAACAGTCCCGTCCCGAACTGGGCGTATTTCGACTAATATGCCCTGAAATTGTTGCTGTGTGAATCAATCCTTTTGATATGTAGTCTTATTATCAATACTATTATGGTTTTTGGTTTGTTCGCTGAACTCGTCAATTTGATTGCAAATGTTTCATCACCAATCGAGGTGACACCATCAGTGCGTTGTTAGGGTGTGTAGCGGCGCACAACAACCAACCCGTCACAAAGATTACTTGGAGATCACATTGTGCTAACTTGGTTTGCCGCTGTGTTGAAAATTTACAAGAACAACTTAAAACAACACATACTAAGTGAAGGATACCGATATCCTTTCCACATATGAATTGAAAGAAGGAATAAGCAATTTCGCTTTCCATCAGCAGGCGATCTTACACCTGGGCAGGTGCTGATGGGCGAAAACATGCTGTGGGGTAAGATCCGACTCATTTTTAGATTGACTGTAACCTTCCCTCACTGCCTCCGATAATGCATCATATCTACTGACGAAAGTAAGTACGACCACTCACTGGGATTTCGAATAGTTAGGGAAGAACTAGTTTGAGTTCGTAGGAGTAGGAGTATCAGCTTTTAGTGCTGAACACTTAGGGACCATTTGTAAATCAGAGCCTGGAAATACGGAGAGACGGAAAGATTGTAACTGAATAGGAGTTCCATTCCCACTGGATCTCTTCTACGAATCTGTAGACCACATTTCTAGTATGTTTGTGAATGTGTGCTTGCCTACAAGCAGGTGTTAAATTGTGTAGCGATAGAATTTTTGAAGGGAGTTTCCTCTGCGTTTAACTGTTTGATTCCACCGATCACTGGGCCTCAGTTTAAAATTAGTAAGAGGCAATAAAACCTCATCCGGAAAAATCAAGAAACCGCTACTTTACGGTTTCACCAGTTTGAACTTTGTGTTCGAAAACTATTTGTACATGTACTATTGCCAGAGTGACCAGTCAATCCAGTGTTAGGATCATGGCCTGTGTAGGTTTCTCCAACAAAGAGTTGGTCTTTGACCACCGAGTTACATTCTGACTAAGTGCGTTACTCTTTCTGCTTTTTTATTGCGCCATAAATATTTTTCCGAGTCTGGCGCAGAGATACAGAAAGATACGCCTCGCTCAGTATGTCTTGTTATAAATCTTGAAAGTGTCGTGCACAATGTGTGGCGATTATGCACTGTCTCGGGACGAGATTAGTCAATGGTTAGAGCGCGAGTTTACGGAAAGATCCGTGGTTCGAACCCAACCTCTATATCCCGATTTCTGCTGTCTAGGCTTGGACAACCTGGCAGTTTCCCAGCCCTCGTGCTTCCTTCGGGTGGCATGGCAGCTGGCACTGAAAGGGTGTTACAGTTGAACGATTATCTATCGTAGAGCACTGTTTGAGGAAACTATTCTAGCCCACATTATGTTGCGAAAAAATACGTAAATTGTTCAACATTTATCTGCACACGAAGGCCGCTTCGAATGATGCCTCAAAACAATATCAGGCCAGACACTCCAGTAAAAGTCTTCAATGCAGTCTTATAACCCCATTTCAGATAACGTGTGCTCTTGAATTCGCGAACTTTTTCACCAACTGTTTTTTTTTGACGAGAGACTTTCCTGGGAGGCTTTGTGAAGCTTCCAAGGGACCCGCTTTTGGATGCCGTAAGGATAGCAGCCTGTTAGCTTGATGAAGCCTTCAGTGATGAGACCAGGCAAAGTAAACAACCGCATTTTTCTCTCTCAAACATTGTCTGAACAAGTACCGCACCTTTAGTAGCGAACAGTGTAAATGGCATTTTGATGAGCTTGTTTATCATTCTCAGACTGTTGAAGGATAATAGCTGATTGATTTGAGGCGGTAATTCCTTGAGCTATTGTTGTTACCTAGACAGAAACTAGTCTAGCCCACTGTAACGCCATATGAATTCAGAGATAGGGCGTGGTAAAATTATTGTTTCAGAGTCATCATTGTGTTTGCTATCACTGGCATCAGGTTTACAAATTGTACGTTGGTTTTAGCTTATAGAAACTCTTTTGCCGGTAATCTGGAAACTAGTGTAGGTATCTAGCTACTTAGGGCACTAGCTGATACCGTTGAGGAGTAAATCCACTGGTTGCAGTGGGGGGTTGGATCGGATAGAGGGGCCGTCTAACCAACTATGTTGTTTGTCGAAAAACCTCTACAAGTTGTCTGTCACCCCGGAAGAGAGCTTATTTTGCAGCTGCTGTCTGAATGGATTATTTGCTCAGTTTACTTGACTTTTGGTGTCCTGTCCATTCTGATCGTCTTGGACACTGTGTCCTTTCTTATCGGGAAGACGTATGCTCCAGCAAATGGATCCGCTACGGTGATCCACAGAGTGGAGGAAGTCACACCTAATCGACGTTGAATTAATCGATTGATCGGATGATATTTGATTTGGGGCACTAGAAGACTCGATTTGACGATGAAAAACTGATACAACAGTTTGTTGGCAATGGATGAATGCGAGTTCCCTTGTGAACATTTCAAGCCAGTATGGATCGGACAGTACACTAGTTTTCTCAGCCTCATGCCCATGAGGACCAAATACAATGCGATTCCTGCTCGATACAGTGATGAAGATGTGCGCAGTGGACATTCTCAGCACAAATGGACTTCCTGCTCAATACACTTCGTACTAATGTCCACCCTGAGAAGTTTTTGGAAACCAGCTCAAATGCATTTGGACTAAAAGCACCAAACCAGCAAGTGTTAGGGGTGCCAGTATACCTATACAAACCGTCTGGTTAGTGGTATATTTAATTGGAAGTTTCCGCATTGGTGACACTGACCTTCTTATCTAAAATTTATCAGCTGTCTGATATTCAGATAGAACTGGAAGGCCAAAAATCTCTCCGGTGCTTACGTCTGTTCACCAGTTCGTTCGCTCCTGTGGAGCACGTTTCCACCGATGAGAAAACGAGAACAAATGTCTGATCAGATGACGCCCTGGGAATGTGGAAGGCGTGGTACCGGAATTTCTCGTGGATACAGGATTCCAGGTAAATCGTGCAACTGCAACTGGTGTTGTTCACTAAGTTGTTCTTAG